TTCATATGTGATCTAACATATTATTATAATTATTAGAGAAAAATAAGAACAAAAATAATTTTAATACTTTTAAATAAATTTATAGTTATTGTTGTCAATGTTAAAATTTGCCTTAAACAAATTAGTAGTTTTTAATTTTAATTTTAAACAATTACAAATTTTTTAATTTTTTAAACATAAAATAGTTATCATGCTAAACTAATCTTAATTGGTTGATAAAACTTTTAAATTTTCTTATAATGTTTCTAAATTTTTTGAAAATCAACATTAAAAACTAAAGATTACAACTATACTAAAAGGAGTCTAACTTTACCATTCATTTCACTAACTTTAAAGTGCATGGTCTTAAATTGGAATAATTTTAAAAATTAGTTACTTTTTTGGAAAATTATTTTCTTATAAAACCAGTCTTTTCCGAAATTTTCCCAATAAATTTATTATGATGTTATAGTTTTGATCATTTTTAAAAGACAAGTCCTAATGGAGAAGTCACTTACCATTTGGAATGTGAGTTGTAATAATTATGAATGCAAAAACAAAAGTAGATGTTACTTATAATAAGAACAATAATTGATATTTTTTTTGTTTAATATATTTATTAAAAAATTATTATTTTTAAAATTAAATTAAAAGTAAGAAAATTATAAATTATAAATTTTAATAATTGAATTAATGAATATTAAAGAGGCATGTTAAATAAGAAGATTTATCAATTATTTTCCTTATAATAAAATGCCTAACTAAGCTTTTGGAAGAACTTCTCTAAGGTAAAAAATTGAAGTTCTCTCTTTCAAGGAAAAAAAATAAAATAAAGCTAGATTTTTAAGCAATTAATTCTTGATGGCGACTCTTTTGTTACCACCTTTGAAAATAAATGAACTTATTTCATGTTTAGATTGAGGGAAACGGGAAGATGATCTTCCTCAACCCCTTCATTTACGTGAATGATTTTTTCTTTTGGCCGTCTTAAGTGACTGAAATTTGTTTGCTGTCTTTTTCTTTCGCCCAAGAATATAGTTATAATGCCACTTAAACTTACAATTATAATCTTATGATAAATGAATATATACAATATTATAAATATCACAATATAATTTATAAATTTACAATAAATAAATACATGTTATATCATATAAGGAAATTATAAATTAACACGTTTAGATATTTTAAAATATCAAGATTATCTTTGAAATTATTGTATTTAAACATTCTTAATAAATATTCTTATATATTATTTTATTAAAAATATTTAAAACTTTTATTATTAATTTTAATATTTTAATTACCAAAATATCTTAATTTTGTTCAATCATATATTATACTCTAGTGTTATTATTATTATTACTATTATTAGATCATTTTCATTTTCTTTTCCTTAATCTAAACACAAAGGGAAAACGTTGAGGATGACTCTTGATACGGAAAAGAAGGAAAGAAACGTAAAGAAAAGTGCCGATAAAAAATAAATAAATAAAGAAAAGTTGAAAGAGGGGAAAAAGGCTATAAGAGTAGAGCACGTAATTACGTAAATTAAATTAAATAATAATGACTTTTGGGGAGTCAAGAGGATAACCAAATTTCAGTGGATGATCTCACCTAACGAAACTGGTTTTTAGCGTGCTACTGCACGTAGATGTGGACCATTCCATTCCCATTAGGCTAAACTAGTCGTGTTCATTTATCAAATAGTCAACCAGGCATAAATTTTTTTTTTTATATGATTATCATGCTCTTAATAATTAATGTTATATTATTTAACATAATTAATTATTATATCTTTTTTAATTTTTTAATTTTATATTTTTTAAAATAAACTTAAAAAATATAATAATTAATTAAAATAAAAAATATTACATCAATAATTTGAAGATATAACTATAGTATCACCCATAGTTTCGATGTTAAGATGATAACATATTAATAGTTAAACTATATAATGGGAGTAATTATTTGACCGCTTTGGTTTTTTTATTTTTAATTTATTGTTAAGATATTTTAAATCAATTTTTAAGTACCTTCAAACTAAATATTTTTTTAGATAATTTTAAATCCCCACTTTAGTTTGATATATTTTAGATTTTCAAAATTCACGTGACAACCAATATTCATTAGTAAGTAAATGTTTTCGTAACTTAGATACTAAATTTAAGTCTTACATAAAGTTATTATAAATTTATTGCATATCTTTAAAATTATTTAAAAAATTTTGAAAAAAATTTACTTTTAAAATGTATATATACAAACTATTTCAGAAGTACTTTGACAAAAAGAAAAGCAAATCCTTTCGGGCAACATTTGCTACTTCAAAATTATTAAAAATAAAAACTTGAAATTATGAATTCAAGTCACGTCACCAAGTTAACTCCAGAATCGATGCTATGTAGAAGATACAATATGATATGTCAAGAATATTTGTAGTTGTTTACAGTTTGTATGTTAAAAAAAAAAAAAAAAAAAAGGTAAAGAACAACGTGGAGGAAACCAGTCTCCTAATTCACCAGGCTGGTCAAGATAAATTTATGGAGGATTAATTTGAGGGATTTTTATCAAAGGATTTTAATGGGAAAAGACCCCAACACAACAACCATGTGCAATTTGTAACATAATGCAGAAATGAAGCAGTAGATGGAAACGAAAGAATGTTTAAAATGACAATTGAATAGGACATGCAAGTTCATCTTAGCCGTTGAGAAGGACTCTCCACTCATTTTCGAGGGGCTCATCTTCTCATGGTGCTATTACTATTGCAACTGCTACAGCTCTTCAGCACGGTCACATCTTTGTTTGCGTTTTGAGTTTTTTCTTTTTCTTTTTCTTTTTCTTAATTTTCTTAATTTCTATCCGTGATATTTACTTGACAACCACTTGCAAAGTCCAAATATTTAAAACATTGCATTTTTCTGTTGCGACTCAGTGATGCCATTGCAGCCCAAAGGGTTGCTAATGGAATGCATTCGATCAGTGATCGAACTTTATCAAAAAGTAAAGTATTAATATCTAATTTTTAACCCCTAACTATTGTTCTTGTCAAAAAATATATATATATATATATTTAAAACATTTTTCTATATGAGCTAACATTCCAATTTTGATCTAGTTATCATCCTTTTGGCTTAACTTTTAGATGGGTCAAATGGGATTTTCAAAAAGGCGTTTTTAAAGAATTAGAAAATGAAACTATACATTGGATAGTTTTGAAAAAGAACCCGTTATAGGTAAACTTAAGACTCTAATTTTCTATTATCATTCTATGAGACAAAACTTCTAAAAAGTGGTAAAATTTATACCCGTATCTATATATTTTCACAAGGTCAAACTCCATGTTTACATTCTATATATTATTTTTTTTAAGATTAACATTCTTCA